AATGACCATAATACCCATTTTTCAAATCAAAATTATAAACGTTAGTTTCGTTTCTTCTTCCAAAAATTCGAAATTTCTTCTTCTTCTTCTTTAATTTATCTATAATATTCTACTTCTTTGTTCTTCAACCCGAAGTATAAAGAAGCTTATGAAAGAAGAAGCCCTTATATTTCTACATTCTATATTGGTAAGATATTATTTTCACTTTTAATTATTTTTTTATCTTGTGTTTCTTTATTTATTCATCATATATTCATTGTCATTTGTGTTTATTTACGTGTTTGAACATATTTTTCGATTTCAAGTAGTTTTGAAAAGCAGAATCTCGTATAATTTTTAGCTGTGGATTCATTACAGTCGTTTTAAACGACCATAGTCATTTAAAACGACCAAAACAACTGTTGTCACTTTATATTACTGTGATTGATAAATACAAACATTCTAAAATTTTATTATTCTAATTACAGATATGAACTCAACAACATGGATTTCTATATTTTATTTTGGTGACTGTTAATGATGATCAAGGAAAATGGATACAGAAACGAAGTGGGAATGATGAAATGGTGGAAGGAGTTCCAATATCTTCAGATACTTCATATCATGATTTGTATTGTGAAGTGCTAAATCTTTGCAAAGTTGATTCATCTTCGCATGAAATTGAGATGAGATTTCTTCTCCCTGAAAATAGACAGTTTACAGTTCCAATTAAAATTATTTTAGACAGGCAAGTACAGTGGTTGCTATCTCTGAACAAAAAAAAATCATTGTCCAATTTGTGTAACACTTGTGAACAAACATTTAGTTGGACATCTACAGGAAGAAGAAGATAATGATTCATTTCATGAAGTGGAAGATGATGAAATTTATTGTGAAATGCAAAAAATGAAGGTGACATTATTCATGGTGAAATGCAAGCAACTGATGGGAATGAAGTGGATAGGACTGAGAATATTCTTTGGGATAAATTGGAGATAGCCTAAGACAATAATGTAGATATTATCACTGAAAGTGGTAACACTTTTGTTTTCTCTACAAATTGAACTGAGATGCTTCAAAACAACAAAGAAGAAGATCATTTTACAAACGAGCACCTTGTAGCTTCAACTCTCACATCACATGTGATTCCCGAAGATGTGGATTTAGAAGATTGCCAAATTTTCAACACAAAAAAAGATCTTATGATGGAAGTGCACATGCTTGCGATGAAGTATAACTTTGAATTTAAAGTGAAGAAATCAAATAAAAAAGTCTATACAATTGTTTGCATGGATGAAAATTGCAAATGGCGTTCGCGAGCAACTAAATTCAAAAATTGTGATTACTTTCAAACTCGCAAGTATGCACGTGAACATACTTGCTATGTGAGTATTCGTCGAAATGATCATAGACAGACAAGATCGTGGGTTGTTGGAAGACATATAATGCCCAAGTTTCAAAATCCTAACATGATATATAGACCTGCAGACATTATTAATGATATGCGTCGAGAATTCAGGGTAGACATGAGTTATCAGAGGGCGCGGAAGTCACGAGAATGTTCTTTAGAAGCTTTGAGAGGTTCCCCGGAGGATAGTTATGCTAAATTGGGATTATATTCTCATAACTTGGCTCGAACCAATCATGGAATAGCATTGTCTTTAGAGATTAACGGTGAGAATCGCTTCAAGTACTTTTTTATGGCCCTCGGACCTTGCATTCGCGGATTTCACTCTTCAATGCAGAAGGTAGGAACATTTTTGACTGACAAATATAAAGGTATGTAATTGTTGCTACTTGTGAAGATGCAAATATCCAAATTTATCCTCTTGCTTGGGGTATAGTTAATTCTGAGAATGATGCACCGTGGACTTGGTTTTTTACCAAGTTGAAAGAAGTAACGGGGGATACTGAAGATCTTGTTGTTATATCTGATCGACATCCAAGCTGTCTATGAATGGAGTTCAAGCTGTCTATCAAAATGCCCATCATGGTCATTGCATCTAACATATAAAAGGTAATTTAAGAATAGTAACTCGAAAAATTGAGATTTTCCTACTTTTTAAGAAAGCAGCTGAGACATATACTTTAGAAGAGTTTGTAAATTATATGAGCGAAATTAAGAGAATTGATATCAAAGCTTGGATTATTTAGTCAAAGCACGTTTCCATACTTGGGTCAGGTCACACTTTCAGGGGAATCATTACAATATCATGACATCGAACAATTCAGAGTCATTGAATTTGGTGTTTAAGAAAGATCGTCAGAATCCTATATTTCCATTGATTGAGAGTATTAAGAAAAGATTGCAAAAATGGTTTTGTGAGAGGCATGTGAATGCACAAGGTTGTACAAGCACTCTAACGCCAATAATTGAAGAGAAGCTGCGTAAGAATGTTGATAAAGCCAAAAAGTTTGTTGCTGAGCTGATTGACCAGTTCACATATAGTGTGAGAAATGAAACCATGAATTTTACTGTTAACTTGGATCCAAAAACCTGTACTTGTAGACGGTTTCAATTAGAACATTTACCGTGCGAGCATGCAGTAGCTGAGGCGAAGAAGAGTGGCTATTCAATTTACTTGTTTTTCTCTCTATATTATGCTGTTGAATATTGGAGAATAGCTTACAGTGATACAATTTTTCCAGTGCCAAATGAAGTTGATTGGGAGATTCCTGAAAATGTTGGCTTCTTCAATGTGTTGCCACAGTTAGTACGACGACGAGGTGGACGTACTAAGACAAAAAGGATTTCGTCTACTGGAGAGTTTCCGAAAAGGCCCGAGTGTAGTTGGTGTGCCGCAACTGGACACAATCGACTAACATGCACAAGTCAGATACCTTTAGTTGATAGAAGATTGGAGGACTAGTATATTGTTTGTTCGATTGCTGTCATGTCGTTTAGATAAACAATGCAAATGCTTTTCTAGTTTTTATCGTAATTCATGCCAAAATTATGTTTTTATGAATGTTAGACAATTTTTGCATTTTCGTTTAGTTCATATAACAAGTGATGACTGGAAAACGATTGCAATCGTTTAAACAACTTCAGTCGTATCATGTAAAACGACCTCAGTCATTTTCAGTGTTTCACAAAAAATGACTCGAGTCATTTAAAAACGACTGAGTCATTTTACATGAAACGATTGTAGTAGTTCTAAAACGACTCGAGTCGTTTAAAACTACTTGCTTCTCGTTTTCGATCATATGTTCGTTTTCTATATATTTTTTAACAAAAAATATTTAAAATCAAACCAAACACGATTTAGAATGTTATACATTATGATGTAACTTATCCAAATCAATCGACTAAATAGTTATTCATATATCTTTCATTATACATTATTGTAAGTAATAAACAATTTTTTCGTCTTAAACTAATAGGTTGAAACCAAACACGAACTATAATTTGAAACTAAATACGATTATTATAAGCCAACATTATACATTATTATAAGCCATATAATTTGAAACTAATATCTTTCATTCACACTTCATCTTGCATTATACATTATTATAAGCCATATAATTTGAAACTAAATACGATATACTTGAATATTTTTCGTGGAGCACGATAAATTTTATATAGTGAAATTCATCTTCTTATTCATTTAAACTAATAGGTCGAAACCAAACACGATCTATAACGTTAAAAGTTTTATTCACACCTTATCTTGCATTATAGTCATTTGAAAAGACTATAGTTGTTTTTTCAAAGTGACTATAAACTATAGTCTTTTTAGACGACCATAGCATTCGACAACCAACATTTTTGAAAAAATTCGACATTATCTACCGTGTAATATAAACTAAATTAACCCAAACAATTTAGCTACTAGACATAACCAAAATAAAATAAAATTTAACATTCAATATCTATTATAAAATTATATATATTCAGAATTCACAGACATAAATACATGAAAATGTCCTACGGATCATAATCAAGGGCAAAAATATCGGCAGCCATCTTTTCCCTCCATTTATTCATATAGAATCCATTAACTTGCTCTACTGGACTGTTGATGCTCAAGAATTCTATATATTTTACTACGTACATACCACAATCACCCCCTGAAAGAATTTAAACAATGGTAAGTGAAGTGTAATAACTAATTGGATATGAACAAGTGAATATGATGTTTTAATAAGAAACTTACGAAAGAGCTTGTTTAGTAGTTTTGGTATTCCTTTCTATGGAAAGAGTGTCTGTCTCCAAATCAATGTTGATTTCCTTTAGGAGTAGTGGGACAATGATACTACCAGCCTTCAAGTCCTCTTTGAGTTGATCATCCGTAATGCAACCCTTATCAAGATCATACACAAATATTGTCGCTTTGCAAAAGCCGATCTCAACTATGAGCCAATGTTTACGAGTACATACAGGAAAATATACATGTGTACAGTCATGCCATTTCCTTCCATATGATGGTTTTGCTCGGGAGATATATTCCATTAGCTCTATAGGCATTCTGAAACAATCCCCTCGCTCACGTAAATCCAGCATAGCGAAGGTCAATTCATTATTAAATTGCACATCCAATATAACTCACGAACCACCAAATGACTTGGGATATTTTGTTGCCCAAGCTCGCAATAAATGCAATGCCATGTCAATATGCTGAAAGTTGAATATATAGTTATATACAAAGTAATTGAATAACACAAGTAATGAGTTACCATACATCATCTAGAAACCATCCCTTGGTTTTAACACGTCGTTAAACAATTTTTTCGCGTCTTCTAAATTGATATGACCCAACTGTATGGAACACTGAAGAAAAAAAATGCAAAATTGTAAAAGAATACAAGTGACAAGTAAAATAATACAAATTCAATAAATTGGTAAGGATGCTTACCCATCGCCTAAACTGGCCCTTTGGAGAAATGTTTCTTCTTAACTGGGTCAACATCCTGAAAAAGATCAACATTCGTATTATCCACATGTCTTCTCCACTTAGCTCCAGTCGTGTATGGAGATGAAACTAACTTTGAAGATTTTCTAAGTCTTTTATCTCGCGTCAAGGCATAAGTTTGTTGATAAGTTTTATCCAAATTTCTCTTCTTCCGAGTAAAAACCTAGTGTACATCACAATCCCCACATTAGTCCCCACATCAATGTCTACTACATTCGTCTCCCTCTCAATGTTCTCTGCAACTGTTCCTATCCCAATCTCCCCTGTTTCAGCCTTCCATTCAATGTCCCCTACCACTGTCTTCATCACAGCACCCCCTGCCTCAATCTCTCTCTCAATGCTCCATATAATGGCCACTCTCCCAATCTCCCCTATCTCAGCCTCTCCATCATTATCCCTTACCACTGTCTCCATCACAGCACTCATTGCCTCCCTCCCAATCTCCCCTGTCTCAGCCTCTTTTCCTGCCTCAATTTTCCTTTCAATGCTCCTTGCAACCGTTCCATGGTTATTTCCCTCGGTCTCAATTACTCCATCAGCCCCAAATAAATGATTTGTGTCGAGATGTTGGCTCGGTCTCATCCAATTCATTATTGTATCGACCTTCCTATTTATCTCTTCGTATTTATCTGATAACCTTTCCATGTAGCACAACAATTCTCTCAACATATCATCGTGGTTACAAGAAGTTTGACGATTGCGTGGAGGTTTTCGATTTGTAGGAAGAGAACTTTGATGTACACAAGTAGTCCCTGAACTTTGCACCTAAAGAAATAAGTGAACATATAGTTAGCACCAATTTGTCGTATAGAAAGATTATAAATTAAGGTTAAAAATATGCATACATCTTCATCACATTTATTCGGAGAGACTCTCTCCCTCCGTCAATGCGGTGGATCTAGATCTCTTCTAGTTCCGCATCACCAACATCTGGGTAGTCTCCATCCTCGTAGAGATAAACATCTAAGATTAGATCTTCTTTTCTAGTTCCGTGAATGAATAATTTCACATATTGTAGTTCAGTCTTATTGGGAAAAGCTGTCAATGAGCAACGAACTTGGAGCTGAATAATTGACAAACAAAATCCTTTTAGCAATACTTGAGGTAACATGCAAAAGTAATTACAATATAGAAGATATACTCACTTGTGGGTCGTCCAAGACTTCAGCAATATCACGAGAATTAGGAGTAAGTGTTGATTTCCAACGACACATTCTCGGCAGCCCGTTGATAGGTAATCTAGCATGATACATGTTTGCTATTCAATGAATAGACTCGAATGCCCACACCTAAAAGAAGATGTATAAGTTATTTACAAATATTTAAAATCAAATAAAAATAATGTCTAAATCACAAGTTTTGACCATTTACCTGTATCGCTAGTGGAAATCCCCACAATGAATATTTGGGTTTCGGATCTTTCGACACTCTAAGGAATGCATGTACAGTAAATTTGAAACTTTTAGTTTCCCATGGATATACATTGAATAGCTCCAAATCATCAACTATATCTAAATTGCGAAGATCTATACATGTATTTTTTTTTTTGGACCTCAACACAGTCTCATATATAAGCACTAAACCCAGTTTGTATTTATCATCCATGTCTTCTATCTCCTTTTCAAATGTCTCATTTAATTCTTTAGGTGTAACCTTGTTAGATGTTGGAAAATATTTATTTCTCAATCTACCATTGTCATTTATCTGGCTCTCATACTCCTCCTCATTCGCAGAACTTAATCCAGTCACGAGCATAAACTCAAATTGAGATAAACGAACAACTTTTTCCAAGCCTAAACAAAACCACAATTCATCCTCATTGACCGAAACAACCCTTCGTGATAATAGGTTGTGAATTAATTGAGCAGATATTTGCATGTTCCTGATGTTATATAGTTTACCAAATCACGATTTTAAGAACATCTCCTTATGGACATCATCTAATGCTTCGTATACTTTTTCCACATTCGACACATTAGAACGTGTTGTAACCTTCGCATCACAGCGACTACCAATGTTGTATATGTATCCATCCTGCAAATAACTCGAAATTAGTAACTCAATTGAAGTATGTAAATCTAATGAACTTAATGAAGTTTTACCTAAAAAATTTCCTTCGCGATTTATTAAGCAAAATTGATATTGTTTTAAGAGAAAATTTATCTTGAACTCTATAGTTAAAAAGCTTCAAATATTCTGGAAATCAAGTAATGTACTATATACTTAGCACATTCAAAACTCATCCAAATATTTTCTTCCATTTAGTTCCCAGTCAAAATTCTTACTTTATCCATAATTCATATATTCTTAAACAATGGTAATTTTGGTTTTCAATTAGTGTTGCAATTTTAGTCCTTTTATTACTTCATTATCAATATGTGTTCACATCCGATGCACTATGACTAGTGACTACACCTATAACATAAATTCAAACTAATAAGCTCTGATATCCCTTTTGGAATCTAAAAGAGTCTTCTATCTTTTTTAACATCGACAAATCCAATCCCCACAAAACAATTAAAAGTATCAAAAGTCACAGAATTCAAATTCTTAGTCAACTCGGGAAGATGAGATAGTAAATTTAAAACCAAACCCTCTTCAAATATCATAACAATATCACAAAATTTAAGCTGATGTTTAATTTCAAGATTACAAAATTTATACCAACATCACATTGTTGTCAACAGATTGAGTGCATTTTTTTCTAACTTCAGAGGCATAATTCTTCAAGTGAGTCATACTTTTTATCTTTAATACAGTTTGACATATCATCAACATCCATGCTATGCCTTCCATTAAATAATAGAAGAAATTATTCCTCCAAGTTCAATGACCCAAAGGTTCTTTCTTTTCCAACTAAATATTTGTTTATTTTATTCATTTTCCCATTATGTATGAAGATACAGAGACATAATTAGAGCATAATCAAGAATGGAATATGATTTGAATAAAGTTTCCTTTAT